TTCCATGCTGACTTCTTGTCAATTTTATCAGTTCCTGAGACAGGTTTGCACGTCTCCCTGATGATTTTGTTAAACACATGAGCATCACTTTTTATTTATCAGAAGTATACTGCTCAATACAAGGGATGGAGACTATTAGAATCATAAGTGAAAAGAGAGGTTTTCCTGATAGGAGTGAGCATACCAATGAGGACCATATTTCATAAACATGTGATGGAGGTTATTACCTTGTTTCTCCTGATGGAACAAGAATAGGCCAAGAAGATGTCACATGGAAGCCTGAAATGCCAGCATGTAAAAAAGTTAAGAACAGTGAGAGAACTTTTCACAAGTATTCTACAGATTTCTCACATGGTCCCGCTTGGTTCCACAAATGATCATAGCACTTAATACCAGGTGACTTTGGGGTTGTTCTTTTCAGAAATATTGTCCAAAGGTGGTCGCAGATACTATACATACCACTAGTGCCATGCAAGGAGCTATAGAATGAAGTTTATCAGTTGGAAAACATAAACAAACAAAAAGTCTTATAAGAAAAGTTTTCTTGCATGAGAAAATGGCAGAGTTGATAAAATCCCCCTCAAAGTCTCATTTTCTCATTTTTCCTGCATAGATAGTGTGTAAGCATTGTGGCCAATGTTACACTAAAGAGAGACACCCTACAAAGCTCTGTTTAAGTCAAGAGGGCAAGAAGCATTTATAAACTTATGTAACATTGTTTATAAACTTATAAACAGTGTAACAATGTCCCACGTGGACCAATTGACTTAGAAAGGGGAGACTTGGAAGTCTAGTGACATTTCTTGCTCTAACTCAGTCTTGCTGATTCATCTGTTTGTTTAAATGCCAGAAAGGAGAAGAAATGAGTACCTAGGGCTATAAAGATCTGTCTCTAATCAGGTTAAGAAATGAAATGTCATCATTGTGAAAGATTCTCCACACCAACACGATAGAGATTATTGGGTACCATAGTTTGTGTTTCTCTGAAAGCCAAGCTTGACAGTGACTGGAGTACCAGTGGTTCATTTTGGATGTTCTTGGCTCCAAAAGCGGGAACTAGGATCTTGGGGAGCAGGCGTGCAGGATGACATAAGAGACAGGGGAAAAAGGAAAAGAAAAGTATTGTGAACAGTAGGTGCTCAATTCTTGGAGCCCACGAAGTGTAAGGAATGCCTTTCAAAATTGTCTGTCTGAAGGATGGGAAACTGGGGTGTTTATCCACTGCTTTCTGTCTCCCATCAGTTTAGGGTCGCCCTGAGGGCAGTAACTGCCCCCTGGTCAATTCCAACTATAGTTCTCCAGCTTCAGAGAAGGCCCAGGCAGGAAAACAGATTTACTGTGAGTGCTTTCTGTAGAACACCATCCATCTAAACATAAGCTTGTGTAAACTGTGTACCCCGGCTGAGACGGTAATCAGAAGTGGGCCAAGGGATGTCACGTGGGTGCAGAAGCATTTAGACCACTCCAACCCATTTATGCCCCTTTTACTTGTTCCCTGGTGGCTCAGAGGTTAAAGGGTCTGCCTGCAATGCGGGAGACCTGGGTTCGATCCCTGGGTCAGGAAGATCCCCTGGAGAAGGAAATGGCAACCCACTCCAGTATTCTTGCCTGGAGAATCCCATGGACAGAGGAGCCTGGTGGGCTATAGTCCACGGGGTCGCAGTGTCAGACACGACTGAGCGACTTCACTTTCACTTTCACTTTACTTGTTCTCTATCACTGACTCTTTAAAGAACCGGCTGGCTGCAGTCTCTCAAAAATCTCTCTGAGAGGGATAGTTGCATGTTACCTCTGATCGTGAGGCTATAGTTGATATAAATCATCTTCCTTTGCTACCACCCATTCTACATTTTTCTTACCTTTAGCTAGCACTTGAGTTGGCTCAGGTTGCCTGCTAGATGGGATAACCAACTTTTATATCTGAGGAATGAGGCTTCTTGATGTTTATGGGTTGTTACATGTGCTACTTATCTTATTTTTAGAAAACAGAGCATTTCCAAATCCCTTTCACTTAGTTTTAACCTTAGGAAGAAATTATGCTTCAACATAGGCCTTCCTCTGGCATGCCCATGCCTCTAAATTTATTGCAATTTTTCATATAAAATTGTGAAACTGCAAACAATTCTTTTCCAGTGTTTTTACCCAAACATTTCTTTTCCTTGTTTCAACAGGTAAGTTACTAAGTTGTAAAATATAGTAATTACACTCTTATGGTGGTATTTTAGTTGTGAGAAAGTTAGGGCTTGTTTGGAAATCCTGCGCTTATTCAGAGTCTTTATAATTTTTCACAGTTGAATATTTTCTTTTTTTCAGCCTGATGTCTCATGAGAACAATCCTAGTTTAACATGACTCTCTGTGAATAATTTATGCTTTCATGCCAAGAGGGAGAATTCCCTCAGCCTACATTGCTTATATTCACACACGTTTTCTTCCAGCTTCTCAGCTTAAAAGCAGTAGATATTTTTGAGCTGTGACAAGTTATCCTGAGAAAAGGATATGAATGGGAAGACTGAAATCTCCTATAAGTCACCTGGATTTAGGAGAGTCCTGTTTTTTTTTTTTTTTTCCCATTTATTTTTATTAGTTGGAGGCTAATTACTTTACAACATTGCAGTGGTTTTTGTCATACATTGAAATGAATTAGCCATGGATTTACATGTATTTAGGAGAGTCCTGTTAATCCGATACTATGAACTCACACTTTTCTCTCTCGCTCACCATCCCAGTTTGCAGTTCACCCCCCAGAAGTGCCTGTGGACACTACAAGGGAGATATTTTATATATACATTTTATTTCTTATTAGACTTAAAAGCTGAAGATTTTGCATTGCTTTTCAAGTTTTCTTCTTGTGTCCAGTTAAATCTCTCTATCCCTTAAATTCTCATCCATCCTCTAAACCCCAGTTTTCAGTTCTATTTTCAAGATAATTTCAGAGAGTTGTACAGTGTTCACTGATCTCCCACATCTTTTATCATTCCACAATTTTTTCATTTTGAGATAATTTCAGACTTAAAAAAATTGGAAAACCAGCACAGAATATTTTCATATGCTGTTCATTCAGATTCCTTCAATATTAACATCTAACGTAACCATGATTAGACGATCAAAATAAGGAAATCAACATTGAAATAATATTACATACCTTATTTAAAGTTTTAATTTTGTTCCACTAATGCTCTTGATTTGTTGTAAGATTAAGCATTCCATTTAGGGTTTTTTTTTTTTTTTGTAACTGTAGTTTAAAAAAATTGTTTTTAAAGCTTTACCATTTTATAGGAGTTTTAGGTTTCCAACAAAATTGAGAGGATTATACAGAGGTCTCCTCTCAGAAGTTTCTTACATGCATACCTGCCTCTACACATGCATAATCCTCTGCATTATCAATATCTCATTAGCCAGAACTAGCAAGAGATTTTAATAGCTTCTCATCCTAAAGCTACATATGAACGTAATGAAGTGTATGTTCTGACTGGAGAGACTAAAATCTTCTGCAAGTCTTTACGCTAGTCACCTTCACCTTTTCAACGACAAGGAGGCGAAAGGGGAGCTGGTTCCTCGGGGCTCCACCCACAGTCCACTCTAAGAAGACAGAATTAGAAAATAGTGGGAGCAATGTTTCTTGTTGATCAAAGGGAGCACATACATTTGTCTTTTATTTAGCTAGCTTGAACGTTTAAGCCACACACATGGTAAACTTTAAAAAGTCATTGGTAGGTACATTGCAAATAAAGTTTACTCTCCTATCTTGCAAAAACACAGCTCACGGTTTTTCAGAAGCACCTACTGCTACCAGGTTCCCAGGTATCTTTCCAGAGTATCTAGAGTGTCTACATATATTCCAGAGTATCTAGAGACTCCTTTACCTGAGGATATCTTTGTGGCTCCACTAAAGTTTTCATGAGAATCTCATGAGTTAATTCCAACTATTCAGGAAAGAGGAATTTCATGTGTTAAATCCCAAATTATGTTGTTCAGTCGCTCAATTGTGTCTGATAGTGACTCTCCGTGACCCTGTGAACTGCAGACCCCAGAATCTGCCTGCAATGCAGGAGACATAGGAGATGCGAGTTCAGCCCTGGGTCAGGAAGAATCCCTGGAGTAGGAAATGGAAACCCACTCCAGTATTCTTCCCTGGGAAATCCCACAGACAGAGGAACCTGGCGGCTACAATCCATGCGGTCGCAAAGAGTCGGCCATGACTGAGTGAGCATGAATTGCAGCACTCCAGGCTTCCCTGTCCTTCACCGTCTCCCGGAGCTTGCTCAAACTCACGTCCATTGAGTCAGTGACGCCATCCAGCCATCTCATCCTCTGCCTCCCATTTCTCCTTTTGCCTTCCATCTTTCCCATCATCAGGGTCTTTTCCAATGATTCGGCTCTTCCCCAATCATGAAGAGTTAGAAATCTTCACAGACCATCAAAATGGCTACCGTTTTCCCATAACCTTCCATTTTCAATGACCTGGTGGTGCTCCTGGTTGGTCAACTTGCAGTAACAAGATGAGTCAAGAATGGGCTTGCCTTCAATGTCCATGGTATTTTTGTGATTTTGCTAACAATTTCATTTAACCCAGGAAGATTATGAGGCCTGAAAAGTGAAAAGTACATACCTAAGACCATATGTAGATCAAGGCTGGGGGTGTGTAGCAACTAAGAGCAAAGTTTCTGCTGCCTAAAAGTGATGTGACACTGAGGAAATTGTTTTACAGTTTCTTTGTAGTATCTGATCAGAGTTGTAGTGGGAATTAAATGAGATAAGGCATGTAAAGGATTTAGCTCGTGACTGGCAAAAGGACTTGCTCAACAAATGTTAATTATTACTACTGTAACTTGTATTATTGCTATTATAATACTATTGTATTATGAAAATGAAATATAGAACAACTTGCAAGACCTGAGTATAACTTATGAACAGACTTTCTCATCATTCTGATTGTGAAATGCTGTTATATTGCCTTTTATTGAGAAACAGTGTGCTCAAAAATATGTTTCCCTTACAGTTACGTGTTTGAAACCAGAAGTAGAAAATGGAAAGCTGTCCGTGGATAAGGAAAAGTATGTTGCATCTGAGAATGTCACCGTCCATTGTAACCCTGGGTTTAGTTTGGTCGGTCCCCAGAGTATCACTTGCTCAGAGAATACAACCTGGCACCCAACTGTGCCCACATGTCACTGGGTAAATTGCACAATTGTGTGTCCTTGTGCTTTCAAACCTTAAAAATTGTGCCTTTCCCAAAGCATTTATCCCAGCCAGCATGGGTGAGACCTGACTTTGTCAGGATATATAAACAACTCACCAAAATTGCCACCACTTTCCACCTTGAAGCGCTGTGGTGAGCTGGCAGAGGCAACTTTCCCTGCTAGATTTGGTGGGTTCCCATAGTCCCAGGTATCCTTACCCTTGGCTCTACATTTTATACAATAAACGCTGCTTGCTCCATTCCTTATTGGTCATTAGAATTATTTCTCAGTTTTCCTTTCAGGGGTGCTCTAGGTCTCCTTTGCATCTCTGCATATTTTCTTCATCACTTCTGCTTGGCTGCTGCTCAGAACAGGTTTGGGCTTGGCCTGAATGGTCACGTTTGCTAGGATGCAATCTTTCTTGATATCCTACTCATCTATCCATCCACTGGACAAGCTCACATTTATCAGTAATGCCTCTTAAATCATCCTGACCCCTTTGCCTCCTCTTTTCTTTAAATCACTTTTAGGAAGTCTGAGAGCAAGTGCACACAGGCAGACACTTCAGGCAGTGTCTCCCAAGCCTGCAGGATGTGAAAACGACCCTAGAGCTGCATAAATTGTCTTTAAGGACCAGATGTTTTTTATTGAAGGATACCCTGGCCAGCCCGCCAATTCTTCCAGCCATTTCTTTAAGTAGAATATGCACATTTTTGTAGGTCGGGGCTTGGAATTAGACAGATGCCCTGTACCTTTGCTTCCCTCATAGCCCAGTTGGTAAAGACTGCCTGCAGTGTAGGAGACCCAGGTTCGATTCCTGGGTCGGGAAGATCTCCCTGGAGAAGGAAATGGCAGCCCCTTCCAGTATTCTTGCCTGCAGAATCCCATGGACAGAGGAGCCTGGCAGGCTACAGTCCATGGGGTCGCAAGAGTCGGACACGACTAAGTGACTAAACTGCCCCCCGCCCGCGGACCTGGGCCTTGCCCTGACGGCAGCAGTATTCTAGGTGCTTGGCTATCCTCAGCTGTGTGGCCCCCACATGCACCTCTTCTGCAGGCCTTGGGCAGCGGGAGACCTCCGGGCCCTGGAGCTAGAGCTGATCCCAGTCACATGCAAAGCCTTCAGGGTAGAGGGAACCTTTTTTGAAAATCATCCTGAGGTGGCAGCTTTAAACTGTGACAATCAGCCCCCATTCACACTTGCTGCCTGATAGGAGCTCCTCTTAAACAACTGGAAGAGACAGTCAAGTTTAAGAACATCACTAAGACATTGCCTTAAAAAGAGGAAAGAGGAAAGAAAAGGGTTATTTTTGCCTTTAGATCAATGTACAGAGTGTCTGGTCAACAAATGTGCTGTTCCTTAGGTACCATCACTCGTAATAAGTGTCTTGGCTTGGAGAGCTGGGATTATGATGATTGCTACTGAAAATGTGTGACTTTAGATTATCTAGACTTTTGTGATCCAAATATTTAATCTTCTGGACTTGAAGCACTGGTTGGTTAAATAAGCATTTTTCAAATATCACATTGTTTCTGTTGTTGTTACTGTGCCATGTCTGTTGTTCCATGCACAGCAAACCAAAGCTTACAAGGAGAACACATCTCAAACCCACCTCCCTGAAGGCACAGGGCTTGGGTATTTATGAAATAAAGAATGGAGAAGCTGGGAGGGATGAGGCACAGGGAGCGTGTGGAGTATGGGGAAAGGCGATTGGGAAAAGGCATAGTAATTGTCATTACACAGGTACACCTAAGCTAAGGGCCTCTGCATGTTCAAAATGTCATCACGTGGACACTGGTGCCTGCCCAGTTGGAGGGTCAGTGGTCCTATCCAGTGTCAACCAGCGTAGGTCCAACCAGATGTAACTGACTCCACGTCCCTAGAAAACAACAGGCAAACATCTGATTGTTTTGGCTACATGCTGCTTGGAGGACATGCAAGTCTTCTGTTGTAACAGTTGAAACGACCTCCTTTATACCCGTGGCTGATTCATGTTGATGTATGACAGAAACCAACACAATGTTGTGATTATCCTTCAATTAAAAATAAATAAAAATTTAAAAATGACCTTGCCTAGATGAAATGGATTTAACTAATGACTACTCATGGGTTCACAAATCATCTTGGTTAGTATGTCATATAGAAGATGACACATCTCTAGTACAAAAATCCACAAATGTCTGCAAGTAAGTTTTTTTTGTACCTCAGAAAGAATGCAAGCCAGGAACTTCAAAAGGTGTTTATGCAGTTACTTTTGCTTGAATGCTTTCACTCCATATCTCAACATATCCAAAATCTACCTACTCTTTATCAAGAGAATAGGGCACAAAACTTTTTGGATTCTCAAAATAAAACATTTCTGTAACTAGAAACCAAAGGGGGGAAAAAAACGCTGAAAGTACAGAAGTCCTTTGTTGCCCACTTGTTAGTTACTAACTCACCACTCTATCCCCACCAAGGATTCCACTTTTCTCACTTTTAGCAGCACAGATTGGTTTTATGTTATTTAACTTTACAGAAATGGAATAATATATTGTGCATTCTTTCTTTCATGACTTTTCCCACTAAATATTGTATTTGTGAGATTCATCTATGTTGTATGCAGTTAAGGTTCATTCATTTCCATTTCTATTAAGTATTTCACTGTTGTATGATTATATCAAAATTTACATATTTGTTCTATTTTTAATGGACATTTATTTTCAATTTTCTTGGCTATGAACATTTCTTCATGTGTCTTTTGCTGAACATATGTGTTCTTGTTGCACAAATACCTAAAGATGGAATTGCTGGATCATAAGAGATATGTATGTATTTGTTCAGCAGTTTTCCAAAGTGGCTATACCAAATTGCATCCCTCCCTACACCCTCTACTCCCTACTTCAATCCCTCCCAGAACCTGCCTGTTCACCAATGCAAGCTGTATTCCTTTTCTTCCCTTCCATTTTTACATCTCCATTTCTAGAATTACCTATCAGATACATTTATTGCACTCAAATCCTATCTCAAGAACTGCTTGTTGTCAGACTAAGGCAAATAGCAAATTCTTGTTCATTCATATATTTTGTTAATTTAGCAGGTGTTGAGGTGATCTTTTCATGGAGAGTTGGGCTTAAAACATTTTTTTAAGACCTGTTCCTGTCCTTCCTACCCTTTATTTAAGAAAATAAAAATATTTTCTTCACTCTTTTGCATAAACTTAGAATTTCTGAACTAAAAATATTAGATCCCATTCTACTTCCAAACCCTTCTTTAAGCATATGTGGAGACTGAGGCCTGTGGTTTGTTGTTTAGTTGCTGTGGGGACAGAGAAAATTAGCCGAGATGGCATGGTCAGGCTGTCTCCCCCTCATTTTGTGAATAACCACTATGTGACAGCTGAGCTCACTTACAGCACTGCGCATGTACGCGTCAGGAGGTACTCGCCACAGCTACTTTGTGCTGTAGGGATAGTGAGCTCCACCTAGAAGGAGGCGGCCTTACTGCTGCGTCACGGCTGTGTCCATTGGGCCAGCCACGAGAGGGAGAATGTAGCGAGTCTACTGCTGTGGCTGCTGCATCAGCCGGGAGAGAATACTGCCACGGCCGCTGTGCCAGCAGGAGAGAGGCTGTGTTGTGCTAGGCTTTGCTATGTGTTAGGCTTTGCTATGTGTTTGGCTTTGCCTGTAGGGAATAAACGTGTCTGCAGCTCCTGCCAGCTCCTCCAATCTTCTTCCAGCCTCTTGGCTGGAGCCTTGCCTCCCCTGGTTTCAGCGAACAGTGCGGACAGTGTGAACAGCAAGATAGCTGGCACTGTGAATAGGATGAAGAGCAATACAATTGGCATGGTCTGCAGGATACCCAGCGGACAGAGGGGCCTGATGCTCCTCAGAAGAAGAGTTGGCAGGATACACAGTGGGTGGGGCAGCCTGAGGTTCCACCGAAAGGAGGAAGCCAGTGGCCACCATATAGTGTGTGGTACTTTGTGACGGTGATCCTCCTGGCTTCAGCTCCGGTGGAAGACTGGGAAGCGGTGAACTGGTTACAGGCACTACAGGCGTTATAGGCAGAGAGTTCCTGTTTGCTGAATAAGGTGTCTTGGACTGCTGCTGACACCGTGCGGTGGATTTTCCTGACTATCCTGAAGGCGAATATGGATCGCGCTGTAGGCGATGCTGCACCGGTGCTCAATGTGCAGAGATGCTTGGAAGAACTAGAGCAATGCACATTGGCATTACAGCAAGAACCTTGTGGTCCTGAAGAGCCCAGCATCTCTGACTGCGAGGTGGTAAGTGATGGTGATGATGAATGTTATGGGTAGTATAGCAGAAAGTGAAGTGTGAGCAGCCTATGGCCCAGGGAGGACACCCTCAAGGGTCCCCCAAGGCGACTGAGTTCACCACATATCGACCATATACTCAGGAGGAGTTGGTCAACTCAGGTAAGAAGTTTCAGCAAACGCACCGGGAACCTTTGGCAGCATGGCTTTTGCGACTTTGGGACGCAGGGGTAGACCCAGCACCTGTGGAGGGTTTGCAGGTCCTACTGAGAGAAGTAGAGGGATGGCATGCAAGACACCATTGTGAAAGTGTGAAGACCCCCGAAGGGGGCCCGAGCTTGCAGGGGTCCCACCTGGGTGATGCGGTTGTGCATGTGGGTGGATTTGTGCGAAGTGTACTGTAAAGGCTGTGTCCTCAGATTTAGAAGAGTGTAATCATGCGAGTGGGCTGTGAATGCCACAAAAATCCCCTCCTTGAACAGATAGGCCTGGTGCCTGTGGGGGGTCTGCAGGTCCTTAGTGAGAAATCCCGCAGGGATGGAGTTGCCCCTGCGGAGGATTTTACGCAGTCTCACAGGGCGAGATAGTGGATTGGACTTGGCTATGGAAGGCAGAGGCACTCTATATGCAGTGGGTGGCTCTTCTAGCCCCACGAGGGCTAGAACTGCAACATGAGCTCCCGGTGATTGGGCTTTGCTGTGTATTGGGGATGTATCTGTTCATTGTAGCTAATGCTGTTGCAAGATGTAAATCCAAGGGTCAGTGTTACTTGCCAAGGGAATATCACAGAAGATGGACTGCACATAGAATGTGAGGCGAGAGACTCTGAAGGGTTGGAGTGTGGGGAGAAAGCAAGTTAGCCAAGATGGCAGTGGTCAGGCTCTCTCGCCCTTTGTTTTGTAAATAATGACTATGTACCAGCTGAGCTCACTTACAACACTGCACATGAGCATCACGAGGTACTCGCTTGGTCACGAGCTACTTTGTGCTGTTGGGTGTGTGAGCTCCACCTAGAAAGCGTCAGCTTACTGCTGCTTCATGGCTGTGTCCATTGGGTCAGCCACTAGAGGAGAGAATATAGCGAGTCTACTGCTACGGCTGCTGTGTCGGCCGGGAGAGAATACTGCTGGCCGCTGTGCCCGCAGGAGAGAGGCTGTGTTGTGTTAGGCTTTGCTACGGCTGTTGCCAGGGGAGAATTAGCGTGTCTGCAGGTCCTACTGGCTCCTCCGGTCTTCTTCCCGCCTCTTAGCTGGAGCCTTGCCTACCCTGGGTTCAGCGAACAGTATGCACGGTGAAATGCAGAGAGACAGTTGGTATCATGAGCAGGATCAGAGATACAGTTGCTAAGCTGTGTCTGACTCTTTTGTATCCATGGACTATAGACCTCCAGGCTCCTCAGTCCAAGGGGAGAAAACTGGCAAGAAAACTGGAGTGGGTTACCATTTCTGTCTCCACGGTGTCTTCCCAACCCAGGGATCAAACTCACATTTCCTGCTCTGCAGGCCAATTGTTTACCACTGAGGCACCCGAGAAGCCCCTGAGGCCTTTGAAAGTGAAAGTAAAAGTCACTTAGTCCTGTCCAAATCTTTGCTACCCCATGGACTATACCGTCCATGGAATTCTCCAGGCCAGAATACTGGAGAGGGTAGCCTTCCCCTTCTCCAGGGGATCTTCCCAACCCAGGGATCGAACCCAGGTCTCCTGCATTGCAGACATATTCTTTACCAGCTGGGCCACAAGAGCAGCCCAAGAATACTATCTATATCTATATATATACACACGCAGAGAGACACAGACAGATGATAAATACACATGTAAATAGACATGATAGAGACATACACACATACATAAATGATAGATAGGAATAAAATAAATGAGCATTTATTGAACATTGTTGTTGTTTAGTCGCTGAGTCATGTCTGACTCTTTGTGACCCCATGGACTGTAGCCCACCAGACTCCTCTGTCCATGGGATTCTCCAGGCAAGAACACTGGAGTGGCTTACCATGCCCTCCTCCAGGGGATCTTCCTGATCCAGGAGTCAAACCCATGTCTCCTGCATTGGCAGGCGGGTTCTTTACTACTGAGCCACCAGGGAAGCCCTTACTGAACGCTGCAACGTCTCCAAGTCCCTGTATATAATCTATTTTTCAGTTGTCCAGGTAAAGAAATTGAAGCTCACAGAAGTTAAAATGGAATTGGATCACGCAGCGAGGAAGGAAATGGGCTGTACACCTAACCCTTGACTTGCTTGGAACTTATGTACAATTATCAATTCTTACACGATGTATTATATTTAGATGAGATAGCTTAGGGCTATGAATTGCTTCTACATAAAAACTGCTACCATGATGAGACGGTGCCTGCAGGTCTAGCAACTAACNCTCCGTTGCCCACTTCTCCTCCAGAACTCAGTCTTTCCCAGTTTCAGGGTCTTTTCCAATGAGTTGGCTGTTTGCTGATAATGAATGATAAGAGAACTTTTAAAAAATTTCAGCTTTTCTTGGAGAAAAGGAATTAAATAACTTTTCTGAATGTTATTGTGGATGTTAAAACAGTAGTTTAAGTTCCCAATGGCATTTTAAAAATAACTGAAAGTGTGTATTTTCTGTTGGAACTGAGGTCTTCATGAATTTATAAAATGGAAAAGTCAAAGGCTTGCTAACAGAAATAAGCCACAACTATTATTAAATAAGGGCTTCCCTGATGATTTAGAGAAAAATAATCTGCCTTTCAATGCAGGAGACATAGGTCCATTCCCTAAGTTGAGATCACCTGGGGAAGGAAATGACAACGTAGTCCAGTATTCTTGCTTATGAAATTCCTTGGATATAAGAGCCTGGTGGGGTCACAGAGTCTGACACAACTTAGTGGCTAAACAACAACAATCAGTTCAGTTCAGTTCAGTTCAGTCACTCAGTCATGTCTGACTGTTTGCGACCCCATGACTGCAGGATGCCAGGCCTCCCTGTCCATCACCAATTCCCAGAGTTTACCCAAACTCAGGTCCATTGAGTCAGTGAAGCCATCCAACCATCTCATCCTCTGTCATCGCCTTCTCCTCCTGCCCTCAATCTTTCCCAGCATCAGGGTCTTTTCAAATGAGTCAGATCTTTGCATCAGGTGGCCAAAGTATTGGAGCTTTAGGGTCAATAACAGGCCTTCCAATGAACACCCAGGACTTATTTCCCTTAAGATTGACTGGTTGGATCTCTTTGCAGTCCAAGGGACTCTCAAGAGTCTTCTCCAACACCACAGTTCAAATGTGTCAATTCTTCAGCACTTAGCTTTCTTTATAGTCCAACTGTCACATTCATGACTACTGGAAAAACCATAGCCTTGACTAGAAGGACCTTTGTTGGCAAAGTAAGGTCTCTGCTTTTTAATATGCTGTCTAGGTCGGTCATAACTTTCCTTCCAAGGAGTAAGCCTCTTTTAATTTAATGGCTGCAGCCACCATCTGCAGTGATTTTGAAGCCCCCAAAAATAAAGTTAGCCACTGTTTCCCCATCTATTTGCCATGAAGTGATGTGACCAGATGCCATGATCTTAGTTTTCTGAATGTTTAATTTTATGTCAACTTTCTCACTCTCCTCTTTCACTTTTATCAAGAGGCTCTTTAGTTCTTCACTTTCTGCCATAAGGGTGGTGTCATCTGCATATCTGAGGTTATTGATATTTCTCCCAGAAATCTTGATTCCAGCTTATGTTTCCTCCAGTCCAGCATTTCTTATGATGTACTCTGCATATAAGTTAAATAAGCAGGGTGACAATATGGTAGTGCTGGTTGTAATTGCAGATATGCAATTTAGTTTGTAAATGGAAATATGCCAATAAAAACATGGTTATTCCTCTGCCATGGGATTTCTTCTAAAGAATGAAATTCTAAGAGTATTAAAATGTACATACATTTTTCTTATATCATCTATCAGAGCATTTAAAGTAGAGCATTTTCACAGAATGGCAAAATCACTCAACCGAGAAGAGATTTCACTAGTGGCTCTATTTCCATGGAGACTGTGTCTCCTATTCATGTGATATGGGATATTTCCCAGTTCTGATGATACAAAGGATTACATGCCAAGGAGTGGGAATCTGGAGTCCCAAAATGCCACCTTGTCATCCTTTGCCAAAATTAATTTCTAAGGCTCCAGAATGATATCATGTTATTTAGGCTTTGTGAACTTTCTTAATATCATAGAGTGACTCAGTTGTATCTAAGGCAGGGATACTAAAGTATTTTACTTTGGAAGTATCATAATAGTAGATACTTTAGGAAAACTTTAATGTGAAGTGAAAGAACTCATATATTCTGGGTGATTCTCCTCTCTTGGAAATTGAAATGGCTCAGTTCAGTTCAGTTGCTCAGTTGTGTCCAACTCTGTGACCTGCTGGACTGAAGTATGCCAGGCTTCCCTGTCCATCACCAGCTCCTGGAGCTTACCCAAAATCATATCCATTGAGTCGGTGATGCCACCACATCTCATTCTCTGTCGTTCCCTTCTCCTCACTCTCCAGAGAGTGAAAAAGAACTGAAGAGCCTCTTGATGAAAGTGAAAGAGGAGAGTGAAAAATGTGGCTTAAAACTCAATGTTAAAAAAACTAAGATCATTGCATCCAGTCCCATCACTTCATGTCAAATAGATGGGGGAAAGTGGAAACAGTGACAGACTTTATTTTTTTGGGCTCCAAAGTCACTGCAGATGGTGACTGTGGCCATGAAATTAAAAGATGTTTACTCCTTGGAAGAAAAGCTATGACAACTTAGACAGCATATTAAAAAGCAGGGACGTTACTTTGCTGAAAAAGGTCCATCTAGTCAAAGCTATGGTTTTTCCATTAGTCATGTATGGATGTGAGAGTTGGACTATAAGGAAAGTTGAGAGACGAAGAATTGATGTTTTAGAACTGTGGTGTTGGAGAAGACTCTTGAGAGTCCCTTGAACTGCTAGGAGATCAAACCAGTCCATCCTAAAGGAAATCAGTCCTGAATATTCATTGGCAGGACTGATGCTGAAGTTGAAACTCCAATACTTTGGCCACCTGATGCTTAGAACGACTCACTTGAAAACACTCTTATGCTGAGAAAGATTGAAGGCAGGAGGGAAGTGGACGACAGAGCATGAGATGGTTGGATGGCATCACTGACTCAGTGGGCATGAGTTTGAGCAAGCTCCCAGAATTGGTGATGGACATGGAGGCCTGGCGTGCGCAGTCCATGGGGTCACAAAGAGTTGGACACGACTGAGTGACTGAAATGAACTGAACTGAATCCTTGCCTTTGTATCCATTCCCTTCCCAGATTAGTCTGTCCATGCTTAATCGTGTCTGACTCTCTGCAACCCCGTGGACTGTAGCCAGCCAGACTCCTCTGTCCATGGTATTCTCCTGGTAGGAATACTGGAATGGGTTGCCATTTCCCAGATTAGTACTTGTTCGAATCTGCCCTTTGGAACTCAGGGAAGGTCATGGTGGTTGGAGGTGTGTTCCCTACAAGCAACCAGGAACAAAAGGGCTTCCCTGCCCAGAAGCCCCACAAGATCCTGATCAATTTCATGCAGAAGAAAAAATGCTTATAACTATGCAATCATATGGTCAGATCTGAATCCACAGTTTAAAAAAGGAAGATGTTAAATAAAGCTGGCACAAATTCTCTAGCTCCTGTCTTATTCTCACTAAAGCCAACTGCTGACTTATTAAAGGCAGGGAGGGGTGCACAGCCCAGCACCCCGTAGCTCTCAGTCTCTATGTGCTAAATGAATGAAAGGAGAGAAAATCAGATCTTGAGATAAGTGTCACTTTTCTCCTCCTTACATTTTTACAGTTTAAGTGTTGGAGCAGTAGGAAAGAAGAGCAATCTAGAAGCAGATGAAATTATCAAATTTAGATTTGATTTATTCTCTTAGAAATTTACTCTTAATTCATCTGAAGTGTGTGTGGACTGCAGAAAGGTCCATTACTAGAAATTTTTCTTATACTTTGGCACCTTTTCACCTAGAAGTTCCCATACCCTGCTCAGTTGTATGTATGTTGATCTCAGGACCCATTGGTTGAAACATGTGGGCACCCTCTCAGGACACCTGGTAATAATGTAATGACCCTATTATTGTGTGTTTGTAGATCAATTACCTGAACACAGAAAAAGCTTGGCTTTTGTCCCAGTGTCAAGGATGCTGCTAATACCTTAGCATAATAGGGTTTTGGGTATCCTCAAGGACAGAATTCTTCCTTGGATAATGGAAATTAGAACAATGAACTTCACAGGGGATACATACTAGTAACATATTTTCCATCAAGAAAGGGACAATATATCATTGTTCATTCCCTTCCATGCTTTTTTCATAATTTGATTTTAAAATGTAAGTTTAGAATTAAAAAAAATGTGTAACGGTGGTGATTTTTTTGATTCTGATGTTTTTATGTGTTCTACTTTTTACCCCTAAATTGTTTGCATCATTTGAACACAGCAAATGAACTTGCAGTGAAAATCCTTTACTGCAGCATCATTCAGTTGGAAAAAGGAAACAAAACAAAACAAAAAACACACTAGGTTAAAAGTGTGTATTTACTGAGTGCTTTTTAAGTGGATAAGTTTGTTAAAAAATAATGCTCCTTAGTCCAGTTTTCTCTTTTCCCCCAGTTGTTTGTTCACATTGTTTTGACCTTGCTGGTTTCCCTCCCTTTTCTGAATCAGTGAAAATAGGCCACATCTAATAGACAAGCTAGACGTTTGAATTATTACCTTTTTTCTCTTGATATTTATTCTTTTTCCTTCCTTTCTTTCTGGTTTCACCTACTGGTGGCTCAGATGGTAAAGAGTCTGCCTGCAGTGCGGGAGGCCTGGGCTCAATCCCTGGGTCAGGAAGATCCCCTGGAGAAGGAAATGGCAACCCACTCCAGTACTCCTGCTTGGAAAATCCCATGGACAGAGGAGCCTGGCAGGCTGCAGTCTATGGGGTGGCAACGAGTTGGACACGACTGAACGACTTCACTACAGTATAAGACCGGCTGAAATCTATTTGAACCTGCCTTTCAGAGTTTACTTATTTTCTTCCTTCTCTACATTCCATACTCTGGAACATCATCATGCCATCTATTTCTTGCTTATTCAATACAATTAACATGATGCCATTGATGTTCTGCGTCAATGTGCTATTCTATGGATGTCTGCATGGTCATGATACCTTCAGACTCTGTTATGAAAGGGACAGAAGTGTTATCACAGCCAAGGACTAAAAATGCAGATGGATGATCTTGACCTTTCCATATGTATGCAAACTGCTTGTGATGCTCTTTTCTGACAGGGCTGGAAAAGAAGGCCTGTGCTGAATCAGTGGCCTCAGCTACCAGAAGACATGTTAATCTGCTCTAGCAAAGATACCATGTGTGGTACAGCTGTTGCGTTTTTAGTAGTCTACTGTAATTCTCCAGAATCCTAATTTTTCATAGTAGACAGACTTATGAAGTACACAGGGATATGATGACCACTCTTGCATCTTTAGTTCTTTAAGAGTGGCACATATTTCCCCTTTCCCCCAACTATTAGTACATGATATTTAAAAGAACTTATCTTCTTTGCCTCCAAGGGGAGGGTTTAGGTCATATCAATGACTTCTACTTGTCTTCTTGGATAGAATGGTCTTATCCCAGAGGCCAAGGACCCATTAGGGATTGTGCCAATGACCAATTTTGTCTATCGAGCTTACACTTTCAAAGATAATGGAAATTCCCAGCAAGTGGCTTAATAAGGGAACCTTGATGGTTCCAGGTATCTATGCTAACTCAAGCTGTTTTCAGTAATTCTTGGATTATTGTGCACCTCTCATCTGTGCACAGTTACCTATGAAAATAGACACAGGTCCTCTTGGAAGACTGGGAACTATTACCGTGCATATGTCTCAAGGTGTTGTATCCTTACTCTTGGAAATTTTTTCTTTGCTTAGTGATCTCCAGACCTGACAACATGAATAGCACAGGTACAAAAACTCAGAGGGGCTTCCCTGGTGTCTCAGATGGTAGAGAATCTGCCTGCATTGTGAGAGACCTTGATTTGATCCCTGGGTGGGAAAGATCCCCTGGAGGAGGGCATGGCAACCCACTCCAGTATTCTTGCTTGGAGAATTCCATGGACAGAGGAGCCTGGTGGGCTACAGTCTATGGAGTTGCAGAGAGTCAGACATGACTGAGTGAGTAACCACAAAACAGAAACTGAGTAACATATTATAACTTTTTAATGGACTGAAGGCCATCAGCCTCCTGGTCACCCATCCTTTATTTCTTTCCAGTACAGATTGAGTTGTATCCAGTTGGCTGCTCATCTGTTTTCACTCTTAGGAATGTCATGTTCTATTAACCATCTTCCTAATCTCACTGTGGTTGTATCTCTAACTTGCCACTCCTTATGATGATTACATTTACTTAGCTTCTAAAGCCAATGAGCACCTCTCAGACTATATTGTTAAGAGTGAAACTTGTTCTTTAACAGCTTTCCCATCATTAGCTCTGGTCTCTGATTCAGATGCTCCTCTCATTTTGATATTCCTTCTGTCCTTGGTAAATGTATCTTCCAGGTCTTCCCAGACAACATAATCACGTGGTGGAGTTTCCTGCATGTGTGTGGCACATCTACTCCAGCATCCTCACTCTTCTGAATCACTTAATCACTCTCTCTACCACTTGCCACAGCAACTCCAGCATTTGAACCTCATTGTTGGCATCACATTTTCCATGCCTCAAGGAGACATCTTAGGATAGTACTACAGATGCTATCATCCATCAGTTTAATATTTTACTGACATTTCCAGAAGTGTCAAGTATTGCTCAGTCGTGACTGACTCTCTGTGACCCCACCAGGCAGCCCACCAGCCTTCTTTATCCATGGAATTCTCCAGGCAAGAATGCTGGGGTGTGTTGCCATTCCATTCCCCAGAGAATCTTCCTGATCCAGGGATCAAACCTGGGTCTCCCTCACTGCAGGCAGATTCTTTACCATCTGAACCACCAGGGAAGGCATTTCCAATGACCTGTTTTATCTAAACTTCTCATGCAGTGTGTGTGGGTCCTGACAGTGTTCCCTTTCACACAGGTGCTCAGCACCGTGTCATGTCTATTGTTTCAGCATGCAAGCCATCATTTTTATTCTTTCTATAAGCTCTTTCTGAACCATTTTAGAGGACAGTGAGTATATTCTTGGGAGGATGGGTGGACTGGTTTTATTGGGAGCAATGAGTCAGAGATTGTGGATTCATCTTGCATCTTTAGTTTCTCCCAGATACACACCTATGCATTTAGCACAAAAGCAGTGGAGTGTGACACCAGTACAGTGTGGCTTTGACTGAATTCTGTCTTCCTGCCAAAATGGCTCCTAAATAGTGTCAAGTTTAGTGAATTTTCGAAAAAAGGAAGCAAATCCTAAGTGCTTGTCAGTCCATTGTAACCTTTCCATGGTTCCCCAGCCTCAGGCCTTCAAGAAGGCAGCTCGAGTCTTGAGTTTGGCTGAATGATTGGATGGGCCGAGAAGACAGAAGGACAGACGGAAGCCTCCTTTGCCATACAGGTTCTAGGAAGTGTTATTACATGCATTCTACATGCCGACCTCTTTTCACTTTTGTGTCTCACCTCAAGATTGTGAATCCCCTCCTGTCATTGCCCATGGACAAAGTAACATAGTCTCTAAATACTTTGAATTTGAACGTGAAGCTGAATATGAATGTGATGAAGGATACACCCTGGTTGGAGCGAACAGACTCTCCTGCACTTCTTCAGGATGGTCACCTGCAACCCCTCAGTGTAAAGGTAACTCTGGCTCCCTCTTCATTTTAGGGGCGGAAGTGGGGCTATCATCAAAGGATTGAGAGCACAGTTTTTTCCCTGTGAGAGGCAGCAAAACAAACAAACAAACAAACAAAAAACCCATTTGATTTGACTTATTTAAATAATCACTATAGTCTGATGGTATCCAAAGCAAAAAGCTCAGAGAAAAGAACATTAATCTCCCCTTCTTTCTCCCAGGTACAAAATTCAGCCTTTGTGAGGCAGCCCCATTTCCCAGTTTCTTGTATAATTCCAGAAATAGTCTACAGATGGTACATTCTATCTGAGCGTAGCTGTAGCCTGCAGCAAAATTTTCATGAAAAGTTGGTCTGGAATGTAAGCCCTAGTGGGCTAATGCCAAGCATTGTGAAATCACAGCATTTCCATCAAAGCCAGTGCAGGGCACCAGCTGCTCACAATGTAGCTGTGTGGTGAGGGACTCCTAATTTTCCAGCTGTTATGGGGACAAGAGGTCAAAATCAGGTCTGATTATTGCATGCACACAGGTTTAATACCACTTCATCATCAACAACTTCAGGGATTATTTGCCACCACTGTCTCCTTTGCACACAGGAGAGCAATAAGAAAGAGGGAAAATTTTTTATCTATTGTCTTACAGGAATCAAGATACAAGATACAAGCTGATTTGATAGTTGAAGATTTGGGGTCACATACCCTTTTTATATTCTGTCATGCTATTTACAATTGTTATATCCTTCAGCAAGTCCCTTAAGCTCTCTGTATCTCACTTTCTCTTAGATAAAATAGTGAGACTTTAATAAGATAATCACATAAAGATCTACCCCAAAGTCTGATAAAGTACTAACCCAATGCTCAATAAATATGCTAATGAATATTATTTTTCTTCTCAAGATTAAAAAAAAGGTAAAACAATTAGCAACATTTAAATACAGTTCATTCTTAGTACCCTAGTATGTTTTTTCTTAGATCTGCAGATTGCTTAAAATTGTGATTCCATTGCAGCACTGTGTCTGAAACCAATGATAGAATATGGAAGATTATCTGTGGAGAAGGTTAGCTATGTTGAACCTGAAAGAATTACTATCCACTGTGAGTCTGGCTATCGTTTGGTTGGTTCAGAAAATATCACTTGCTCAGAGGACAGAACCTGGTACCCAGAGGCACCCAAGTGTGAGTGGGTGAGTCACACAATTTATGGTAGTTTTTATGTTATTAAACCCCGAAGCACTGTCCTGCCAGCAAAGGAGATATCTGGCTTGTCAAGATTCAGTCATTCAAAGGAACTCTCATTTTTGCTTTGAAGCCTTCTGGTCAGATAGGAGATGCAGTTTTCCTGCTCTCACTTGTGATCAGGGAAAACTGAGCCTCTTTGGAGTGGAGGGTCTCAGACCTGGTAGTACTGACTCCCGACTTTTCTAGAGGATTTGATATACTCTTGTCCCATTTCCGGATGGTCAGAAGTAGTGTCTGATCTCCCAGAAGCTTTCTGGGAGGCTGCCTCAGAGCAGAGTTATATTCCTCTTGGGAAGATGATGGTGGGAAACAAGGTGTTTCTGGTTTTCGTGTTCATCCACCAGTCCTGGGGTGTGTCTTTGTCCTGAATCTGTAACCCTGCCTGTTTCTACATGAACTATGCCCCCTACAATTGAGAGAGGTCTTTCAAGCATACTCATCATGTGTTTCTCCTTTAGGAGTATCCTGAAGGCTGTGAGCAAGTAATCGCAGGCAGGAAACTCTTGCAGTGCCTCTCAAGGCCAGAGGAGGTGAAATTGGCCCTGGAAGTGTACAAGCTTTCCCTGGAGATTGCACTCCTGGAGCTTCAGATAGATAAGAGAAAGGATGCCTCTGAGTGGTAATCACTGCAATGTTTCTCAAGAAAGAGAGGAAAACGTTTCGTGCTATCTTCATTCCAATACAGATCACCTCAGTTAATCACCTTTACCATCTCTTTTACACCACCAATTGTGGTAATAATTATCTAGAAAGGATAATTTGTTACTATTTAGTGCTTTGAGATTGTGGAGTTATTGATGATTTTCTGACTCATGTTTTTGCTTTTCTGGACACAGAGTACACATTTTTTAAGTAAAAAATTAGCATATCCAATATCATTTTGTCTTTGTGTTTAATTTTGTAAAATAAGGTTGTGAACACACACATACATAAAGTTGATACGTTTACTTTACTGTTGGGATCTTGGACATAGGGACTTGGGTTCACAGCAGTACATTTCCATGGATTGCCTTTACTCCACAGTTCCATATGTAGGTTACTCAGGGGCTCAGTATTTAGATTAAACATCAACACACCCCCAAATTCTTGTCCATTGTCCACAACTTGAGGCAGTTAGGTCCTTTTGTAAGCCCTCATGCACTTGGCCTCTGCCTCAGTAATGGTCGCTCTTGGCTTTTGCCTTACAGTAAGGGGATTCCTATCTGTTTTGGTCTCCTGATCCTTTCCTCAGGAACAGACTCTGAAAGCCTGGTGAGTGGAATCCCACATCCTCAAAATGATTGGTCCCATTTTCCTTGTTAGAAGTGTTAAAATGGCTTGAGCAACCACCCCGTACATGAGAGGACCCGTGTCCATCATGCTTATATCTTGGGGTGTTTGGAGGCTTTTATTCTTTGCATTTATCACTTTTCCCAACTCTTGCATCCTCTGATATCTCTCTCCCACTCATATCTTGGCTCCTTGTCCCATCTGTTTTGTACATAAAACTCTATGGGGAATGTTGGTCTCATTGATTTAACTCCTTCAAGTGTACTCCAATAAGACAAAGTTGTATACCAGGCTTTCCTAACCCTTAGATGCTACAGAGGATCTCGAATGGTTAGAGGAACCCACTTAGTAGAGAAGGTGTTTATTCATTGTCTTAAAAGCTGTCATCTGCTTCTGCTATTAGGAATTATTTTGGCTGATATTTTTTTGGTTCTCATGAGTCAAAGACTTGTGAGTATCTAGTTTCTGATCTGGGAAAGCACTGTGAGAGCAAGGTAGTAAGATGGGGAAGGGAGGATAGCCTAAAAAGGGAGCAAGTTTGAGGGGATCATTGTTGTTGCTAACAGGATGTACACTGTGCTGAGTACCTTCTGAATGTGTATGGAGCAAAACTGAGAATCTACTCCTGAGGACTGAGATTTGAGGATTTTTAAAAAAAATTCTAGTTGGAATATAACTGGTTTACAATGCTGTGTTAATTTCAGGTGTATAGCAAAGTGGTTCAGTTATACATACATATATATATATGTACCTATCTCTGTTTCTATCTATACAGATATGTATCTATCTGTATTAGTTTCTTTTCTTTTATAGATTGTTAAAAAATATTGAATATAGTTCCCTGTGCCATACAATATGTCCTTGTTGGTTTTCTATTTTACACATCAGTTTAGTTCAGTCACTCATTCCTGTCCAACTCTTTGCAACCCCATGGACTGCAGCACGTCAGGCTTCCCTGTCCATCACCAACTCCCAGAACTTGCTCAAACTCATGTCAATAGAGTCAGTGATGCCATTCAATCATCTCATTCTCTCTTATCCCCTTCTCCTCCTGCCTTCAATCTTTCCCAGCCTCAGGGCCTTTTCCAGTGAGTCATTTCTTGGCATCGTGTGGCTGAAGTATTGAGTTTCAGCTTCAGCATCAGTCCTTCCAATGAATATTCAGGACTGATTTCCTTTAGAATTGATTAGTTTAATCTCCTTGCTGTCCAAGGGACTCTCAAGAATCTTCTCCAACACCACAGTTCAAAACAATCAATTCTACTATGCTCAGCTTTCTTTATAGTCCAACTCTCACATCTGTACATGACTACTGGAAAAACCATAGCTTTGACTAGATGGACCTTTGTCTGCAGAGTAATGTCTCTGCTTTTAAATACGCTGTCCAGGTTGGTCATAGCTTTTCTTCCAAGGAGCAAGCATCTTTTAATTTCATGGCTTCAGTCACCATCTGCAGTGACTTTGGAGTCGAAGAAAACAAAGTCTGTCACTGTTTCCATTGTTCCCCAATCTGCTTGCCGTGAAGTGATGGGATCAGATGCCATGATCTTAGCTTTTTGAATGTTGAGCTTTAAATCAGCTTTTCCACTCTCCTCTTTCACTTCCAGCAAGAGGCTGTTTAGTTCCTCTTCACTTTTTGCCATAAGCGTGATGTCATCTGCATATCTGAGGTTACTGATATTTTTTCCTGGCAATCTTGATTCCAGCTTGTGCTTCATCCGGCCCAGCATTTTGCGTGATGTACTCTGCATAGAAGTTAAATAAGCAGGGTGACAACATATAGCTTTGAGATTCTCCTTTCCCTGTTTTGAACCAGTCTGTTGTTCCATGTCTGGTTCTAACTGTTGCTTCTTGACCTGCATGCAGATTTCTCAGAAGGCAGGTAAGGTATTCCTATCTCTTGAAGGATTTTTCCAGTTTGCTGTGATCCACACAGTCAAAGGCTTTGGCATAGTCAATGAAGCAGATGTTTTTCTGGAATTCTCTTGCTTTTTCTATGATCCAGCAGACGTTATATCCAGCAGCAATTTGATCTCTGGTTCCTCGGTCTTTTCTAAATCCAGCTTGTACATCTGGAAGTTCTCAGTTCATGTACTGTTGAAGCCTTGAATTTTGAGCATTACTNTTTTTCTTGGGGATGGTCTTGATCACTGTTTCCTGTACAATGTCATGAACCTCCGTCCATAGTTCATCAGGTTCTCTGTCTATCAGATCTAGTCCCTTGAATCTATTTGTCACTTCCACTGTGTAATCATATGGGATTTGATTTAGGTCATACCTGAATGGTCTAGTGGTTTTCCTTACTTTCTTCAGTTTAAGTCTGAGTTATATATAGTAGTATGTATATGTTAATCTCAGACTCCTAATTTATCCCTCACCCCTCCTTCTCCTTTGGTAACTATAAAGTTGCTTTCTATGTCTGTGAGTGTCTTTTTGTTATGCTTATAAGTTAATTTGTAAAAATCTTTTTCAGATTCCCTGTATAAGTGATATCCTATGATATTTTGCCTTTTTCTGTCTGGCTTGTTTCACTTAGTATTATAATCTCTCAGTCCATCCATGTTGCTACAGATGGCACTATTTCATTTTTCTATGACTGGGTACCATTCCATTATATAAATATACCGTATCTTTATCAGTTCATCTGTCAATGGATATTTAGTTTGCTTCCATGTCTTGGCTATTGTGAACAGTGCAACAATGAATATTGGGATAAATTAGTCTTTTTGAATTATGATTTTCTCTAGATATATGCCCAGGAGTGAGATTGCAGGATTATATACACAGAAATCTGTTGCATCTATATACTAACAATGAAAAATCAGAAAGAGAAATGAAGGATACAACCTCACTCATTGCATCAAAAAGAATAAAATACCTATGAATAAATCTATCTAAGGAAGGACAAGATCTGTACTCTCAAAACTATAAGACACTGACAAAAAAATCAAAGATGACATAAACCAAAGGAAAGATATATTCTTGGATTGAATGAATCAATATTGATTGCACTACCCAAGGCAATCTATATATTCGATGAAATCCCCATCAAATCACCAGTGTCATTTTTCATAGAACTAGAACAAAACATTTTAAAATTTATATGGAAACACAAAAGAACCCAAATGGCCAAAGCAATCTTGAAAAAGAAAAACGTGGCTTGGAGGAATCAGGCTCCCTGATTTCAGACTAAGCAACAAAGTTACAGTGATTAGAAAGTACTGGCATAAAAACAGACATGTGAGTCAACAGGATGGGATAGATGTCTCAGAAACAAACCCATGCACCTATGGTCAAGTAACCTACTCAAAGGAGGCAAGAATACACAATGGAGAAGTCTCTTTAAGAAATGGTGCTGGGAAAACTGTATAGTGACATATGAAAGAATGAAATTAGAACATTCTCTAACAACACACACAGAACTAAACTCAAAATGGATTAAAGACCTGAACATAAGACTGGATACTATAAAACTCCTAGAGGGTCCATAGGCAGGGCTTTCACATAAAATGCAGCAGTATCTTTTTGGATTCCTCTCCTAGAGTAAGAGAAATAAGAATAAAAACAAACAAATGGGACCTAATTAAACTTTAAAGCTGTACAGAGCAATGGAAACTGTAATGAAAAGACAACATACAGAATGGGAGAAAATATTTGTGAATGACTTGCATGACAGGGGATTAATCTCCAAAATATACAAATAGTGCATACAGCTTAATAAAAAAAAAAAGGAACTCAATCAAAAAACATAGCTTACAGTGAATGGTGTCAGATTCGTGGTCTCTGAAGGAGAAAAATTCACTCTGGGACCAAAGACGTGGCTTCAGTCACTCAAAGGTTTATGTAGCAGAGATTTTATTACATTGAAAGGATAGAGAAAAGCTTCCAGCAAAAGGCACTGGAAGGGGGTGGAAGAGTACCCACCACCACTAGTTTAGGTGGGGCATTATATACTTTTTAGTGGACTGCTAAACATAGATAACAGAAATACCTCAAGGCTGTGAAAGTTTTACCAGGCTCCTCTCCCACAACGTACATCTTGCAATAACCTCAAACACAAGATTAACCAAGGAAACAGTCTTGGGATAAGATGTCTCTGGATGAGATATTTTGTATCCATATAATCAAGGGCATAGGTTTTTGAAGAAAAATAGGTTTCCAAGTAAGATACATTGGTTTGAATTATAATCATTAACATAAAGCCTAATAAAAACAGTTCCATGAGTAAGATATATTGTTTTGCTGAATAATCATTAGCTCTGGGCATAAAGAAAGCTAGTTTCAGGTGACATAGTTTGTTGCTATAGCAACCCAGAGCTTAAGAAAAACATCCTATGTGACTAAGATGAAGGAATGTAGAAAAAAATGTTTGCCTCCTCCTCTTCCTCAAGGGCCCTGGACTTCCTATCAACCAACCTAAGAATAAACTCTCTCAATAGGCAGAAAATCTCAAGAGACATTTATTCAAAGAAGAGATACAGATGCCCAAAGGTCAGGTGGAAAGATGCTCACCATTGCTAATTATTAGAGACATGCACATCAAGACTACAATGAGGTATCACCTCACACAGCTAAGAGGGGCCATCAACAGAAAGTCTATAAAT